TCTGGTCGCAGGGAGTTCTGGCCATCTTTGCTTAGCCTGCTGCCCCTGTGACTCTGTTCCGGATAAGTGGAGGAAAATGGATGGATGGATGAGGTTTTACTAGCCCATCTCAAGGCAATTTAGTGTATAACCCTATGGCCCTGGGACAACACATTACTAAGTGATCCTCAGTGCGTTGTTGTGGAGTTGATAAGCTCTTGATATATTTTTATACAATAGGTTTCCTCTGGATTTTCCATTTTGCTAATATGTATGCTAGTCAGGTGGACCAAAGACTTATACCTAGGCATAAGTAAAAAAAAAAAAAAAATGAAAGCAGGAGAGCATAGAGAAATGAGGTGCTAAAGCTGAACTGATTAACACACTGGTGACTGGCCTATAGCAACAGTGGTGCAGTGGGTAGAGCTGTCGTCTCCCAACCACAAGGTTAAAGGTTCAAATCTCGGTACGCGTGATGGCGGCACGTACACACACGGCCCGGGGCCCTCAGCTCCAAACAAAATTTCGTTGTACATGTCACAATAAAATAAAGCTTCTTCTTTTTTTATACAGTGCCTATAAAAAGTATTCACCCCTTTTGATGTTTTACCCTTTTATTGATTTTAAATCAATCATGGTCAATATAATTTTGCTTTTTTTAACAAAAATGTCAAAGTGAAAATAGGTTTCTACAAAGTAATGTCTAAATAATGTAATGGGAAATAAGTGACTGCATAAATATTCACCCCCTTCAAGTCAGTATTTAGTTAGATGCACCTTTGGCTGCAATCACAGCACTGAGTCTGTGTGGATAGGTCTCAGTCAGGTTTGCACATCTGGACACTGTAATTTTACTCCATTCTTCTCTGTAAAACTGCTAAAGCTCTGCCAGGTTGCATGGGGATCAGGTGTGAACAGCCTTTTTCAAGTCCAGCCACAAATTCTCTACTGGATTGGGGTCTGGGCTTTGACTCGGCCACTCCAGGGACACTCATCTTGTCGTCTTTAAACCATCTCTGTGTAGCTTTCGCTGTATGCTTCAGGTCATTGTCTTGCTGGAAAATGAATCTTCTCCCAGGCCGTAGTTCTCTTGCAGACTGAATAAGATGGTCCTCCTTCATTTTATTCATTTCCTCTCATCATGATGCTGCCACCACCGTGCTTCACAGTGGGAACAGTGTGTTTGTGGTGATGTGCAGAGTTTGGTGTCCGCCAAACACAGTGTCTTGCCTGACAGCCAAAAAGCACCGTTTTGGTCTCATCAGACTAAAGAACTTTCTCCCACGTGCCTTTTGGCGAACTCTAGTTGAGATTTAATGAGTTTTTTTCAACAGAGGCTTTCTCTTTGCTTCTCTCCCATAAAGCTTTGACTGGTGAAGAACCCAGACAACAGTCGTTGTATGCAGAGCCTCTCCCATCTCAGCTGCTGAAGCATGTAACTCCTTCAGAGTGGTCTTGGTGGCCTCTCTCACTAGTCTCCTTCTTGCACAGTCACTCAGTTTGTGAGGACGGCCTGATCCAGGCAGATTTAGACATGTGCCATATTCCTTTCATTTCTTGATGATGGATTTAACTGAACTCCAGGGGACGTTCAGTGCCTTGGAAATTATTTTTGTATCCATCCCCTGATTTATACTTTCCAATAACCTTTTCTCTGATTTGCTTGGAGTGTTCTTTTGTCTTCGTGGTGTAATGGTAGCCTGGAATACGGATTAACCAGTGACTGGACCTTCCAGACATGGGTGTCTTTATACTATGATCACTTGAGACACGTTCACTGCACTCTGGTGATCCCTGTTTCACTAACTGTCAGACCAGTAGCACCAACTGGCTGGACCTCTGTTGAATTAGGTCAGTCATTTTAAAGGAAACCTGTTTTCACTGTACTCTTGTATGTGTGACTGTGTAAGCTGATTTCTTTCCTTGTCCAGTCCCCTAATGAGGTGTACAGCTTTAAGAGGCCTGTTGACCTGTCAGCAATGAAGAGTGGTGACAGCAGTGCTCACATGTTCCTCAGAGGTGGGCTTCGGTCCAGCCCGTCCAGACGGGAGAACTGTGTGAGTCTGCTCTCAGCCAACCAGCTGGTCCGAGCCCTTCCACCCAGCAAGGTGCCCCTGAAGGAGGTCTACCCCAAAGGTCAGGGTTCAGGTCATACACATGACTTGTTTACAACATACAGTAGTAAATGATCACAACAGAGAATATATTCAGTACATAACGAGGCGTTTTCTTGTCTGCCACTCAGATGTAACACCTCCGATGACAGCGGCCTATCTGGAGGTGACCGATCTGAGCTCCAAAAAGGTCAAATACATTCCTGTCCCCAGGTAAACTCAACACACCTCTGCAGTACTTTCACTGTATGATAAGAGCTGGATTTTGCAGGCTGTAGCCCCAGCTAGTGGCCACAGGCAGCGGTGCACTGGGAAATGCTAGTGAACAGTTTTAATATTATGCTGTTAAATGTGCCAAATTATTATTCTAAAAAATTAATTCAATTCAGTTCAGTTCAGTTTTGTCCATGAGGCAAAAAATCACAACAAAGATTATTGTTATTATTATTGAGAAAAACCCAGAAAGTCTTATTTCTGTTGTAACTGAATTCTTATGTATGACCAAGCAATAAAATGTTTTTAAACGAGTATTTGCTTTTATCAGACTTATAATAATTTGTGCAAAAATGAATAATTAGTGTGTAAGCAGAAAACGCTGTCATTCAAAGCAGTAGCAATGTGAACACGTTCCGTGTTAGGTAGCACTTTGTTCTTCAGTTTTGCCTCATTCCATTTGCGTACCAGGTTTTTCCTTTTTTTGACCATTGAAGCCAAACTGAGAAGTTTTTGTGATCAAGATAAACATGCCATTGTGATGTTTAAAAAAAATTTGTTGAAGTCTTCTCCAAGTGAGTGTGTCCTAACCTTTGTACACGTGTGATTGGCAGGTCGATGACTGTGTCGCCTTACACCAGCTGGTTGTCTAAGGTGTCCGAGACCGATGTGCTGTTGGCTGCTCTTGGTTCTGGAGGTGTGGTCACAGTGGATATGGGCGGGTACGTTCGGCTCTGGGAGACTGGACTGGACACCCTGCAGCGATCACTGATGGAATGGAGGAATATGATCGGGACAGAGGATGGCAGACCTATACAGGTAGTCTGTGCTGACAGATGTAATGAAGAAAAATGCTTGAAGCCTGCAGTTTCCTTCAACACCACTGAGGGGCAGTGCTCCTTTAAAAATAACTACTGTGAACAGAATTTCAACTTTATCTCAATCTCCAGGCAGAATTTATTTGTTGCTGAAATATTCCTGGGTTTATGCTAACTGGGATGTTGCCAGGCCCAGAATCTATGGCCCTGTTGTGTCCAGGCTGGGTATTTATGAATGGGTGGGCATTGTGCTGATGATGCAGCAGGTTTGACCCTTGGTATGGGTCAGAACATTTGGACCAGCATACTGAGACAGCATTGTTAAGGTGCCTCCATGCACACAGAGACAGATGAATTCTTTCGATAGTGTGGCTTTCCAGCTGTAAGGTGCATTATCTGTGGATCTGTGCACAAGGCAGTGAGGCTGACAACACTTTGTACTGACTGAAAGAAGTATATCAAAAATGGAATAATGTACATCAGTGGCTGTCTCAGCATCCAAAGATGATTTATGGAATCTTAAATAAGATTACAAGCTAAGTGTTGTGTAGCTGTTTGGGAGGGTAAAGCCATTATTATAAGCATTTGCTACATTTGCTTCTGCAGAAAAGGTCTTATTATAAGCATTTGCTACATTTGCTTCTGTAGAAAAGGTCTTATGTTTTGCACAAATGCAGTGATATAGACCTTCTGAAGAGTGTGTGGGGGTGCAGGACTACTGAGGTAAAAATTAAGTGACCTACCTTCAGTATATATGTTAATATACACACACCGCCACACGCCTGTGCTGCACACACTGGACCCGTTTCCGGCCTAGACTGCTTCTCTGATGGGGCACCTTGAGTCCACTGTAGGTCAGACTTAGACAGACTCTCCCTGTGCTCTGTGTTAGCTCACTGCAAACAGCAGCAACTCTGCTGTATTTAAAGTGACCTGCCTAAAAGACTCTGTGTTTCTGCTGCCTAACAAACTGCTTACAGGCCTCACCTGAGTACTAGCTGACCGGTTTGCATAAATATGAGTGTGCATGCAAGATTTAAGGCTCTTATATTGTGATGTATTGGTGTTGCTTACATATACGTAAATACTGTGCATAGTCAGGGTAAATATGACCACCCCTAGCTGGCTGATGGGTTCATGTGGAGCACCTTGTGGTCCTTGCTGCTCCTGTTTGGATTGGTCTTGGTTAATAGTCAGATGCCTATTTATGTCTCTGAAATTACAGGATCTGTCATTTGTGCTGAAGATGATAGTCTTTCAACCAAAATGTTTTCTTTTACTCAGATGTTTTCATGGCTTAACTTTTTGCACATTGAACCAGCGTGTTGTTTTTGTATTACTTTTACTTCTATGCACTGGACTGTTGTTTGTAACCACAGCCTGGATTCAGGAGTGCAGACCCTCTTCTTCATCCTTGCACATGCCACATGTCCATTACTTGCCAAATACCTCATGTTTATGCCACTCTTAAGAGCGTAACAATCAGGCTGATTATCAGGTTTTATTACTGAAGATCATGTTTGTTTACCCTGTAGAGGAAAGGCTTGACAGCTCATTGTACTACTGCTCCATGCACACATGTGATTCTGGGCAGCCACACAATGGGCTGTGTGAATGAGTACTCACTGGCTCCTCTTGTCTGTCTTTAGCCTTGGTTTGACATCGCTCTATTACAGCACTGTTGACATAATGGATGCACAGGTCACCATCTGTCTGCATGTCTTTTATTGAATGTCGGTGTCTACAGGTGCATTGCGCTCACAGCAGCTGGCACGTGTTTTATTCAGTCACTTCACCTGACACTTAATTTTACACTATGGTTGTTTTTGATGCCTGGGTATTATTTCCCCCTTTCCTGCTCTGGTTGGCCACCTGCCACCCCTTTCCCTCCCTGCCCTCGTCACACCGGAGCTTATCACATATTGACATGCTTTGCAGCGGTTCCTTACGTCTGAGCCACAGTCTGCAAACAGCAGATGTCAGTATGCTGTATGGTGATTGAGCCACAGTCTGCAAACAGCAGATGTCGGTATGCTGTATGGTGAGCCTTGTTACCATGTCACAGACGTTATACTGTAATTTTCACATGGTTAGCTTTTACAGACCATCACATACCTGTTTACACATTGTGCGTAAATTCACAGAAATAAAGACTGTCAGACTCAGGCACTCATGTTCATACACTGCACTCACTTGTTCAAACCTTCATGTGCAGGCATGCATTTACACCAACATGCACATGCACACCCAAGTTCAAACGGGGGCAAGCATTTACTCACAAGAGGCACACATAAGTGGGCTCCTGCGCGCGCACACACACACACACACACACACACACACACACACACACACACACACACACAAAAAACACATACACACCAAAACACTCTC